AAGATAGAGATTTTTATTGCACTTTGTTCAAAATCTCTTGCTTCCTAAACTGTTTCAATATAACGGCAAGATATTGTTTCACAGCGGCATTAAGTGTTCGAGATCGGTTTTACGGGGTGATATGCAGATTTCTCGTCACAGAGCCAGAGGTAGTGTTAACCCTCGAGCCAAAAAGAAAACTATTATTATGGGCGGCGTGTTTAGACTGACATGGATCCGTGTCAATAATGACCCTATCAATTAGATTTGCCTCATTAAATATTAACTTGCCTTAACTTTAATACTAATATGAAAAACTGCAAGGTGAAGTTTAAAAGACTTGCGATAAACAATGCCTTAAGCAACTTAAGAGTTTTTCAAAGTCGTTCCGGCGCTTTTCTCAGAAACTTAACGATTTCAACTGTGAAGGGTTAGATTCCTGTCAGATATTGCCTTTTTAACGTTGACGGTTGGTGTTAGATCGTAAAAGCTCTATGTACACTTCCCACATGAAGTTGGTCACGCGTGTAAATCTGATTGTCAAATAGATGTTTGTACTGTTGCCATTTGACCGTATGTGTCGAGCAAAAATGTTCTAAAATAGGCAATGATTCGGTAAGTTTAAGTTGATAATTTTCGTTCTGGTAGTAATTGCCCGAGGGAGATAAAAAATTTAATGTTGTGTTGAAGACTTTGTCGAAACCGCCTTTGCGGTTAGGTCACCTTCATTTTAAAATCTTTATTCCAACAGCTCGTTTATCAGGAACATAATTGTGTTGTCTTGCATTGACAATAGGACAGGTGTATCAACACAGCTGAAAACGAGCGACGTAGTTTCGACACGCCGTGTTTGAATCGCGAAATTTTAGAGAATTCTGACAAAGACACTCGACAATCTCCGAAGTAACTCCTGGTGGAAGTCACTACACAGATACTTAGACATGCAAGAAGACAACATCACTGGCGTTCAAAACGCCTCAACAAGTAATCACGCGAGATCAAGCTACGCGATTCTTGTTCCACCGTTGTTTTGTACCATCATGGCTGTGGGGTTTATCGGTAATACGCTACTTGTTTACACTGTCCTTCGCTGGAGAGATATGAAAACACCCTGTAACTACCTCATCTTGAACAATGCGATCGCAGACCTTGGAGTAGCCCTTGTAGCTGCACCGCTGAGAATCGTGGACTTTTACTACGGGTGGATCCTAGGAGAAACCGCCTGCCAGGTACTCGCCCCTACGCAGGACGTCTTCGTCGTTGTGTCGGTGATAACCTACACGATAATAGCTTTTGAGAGGTACAGAGCTGTGATGACGCCGTTCAAGCGACATTTCTCTTTAAAAACTATCGGAATCGTTGCAGTTTTCATCTGGATCACTGCTTACCTCTGTACTGGGTTACCTATTGCGATGATCCTAAGCGTGCAGATGATCCAGGGAAAACTCCTTTGTGTTACAAAGTTTGCATCTACGACCGCGATGAGGTTGTACGAGATCTATCTGGTTCTCGTTTTCCTCTTAGTCCCCTTGTTCCTACAAACTTTAGCTTACTCCATTCTGGTGTATCACTTAACAGGCAGAAATTCTAAGGACAAGTCACTTGAAAATTCAACAAGTTCCCGTGGCCGGAGAATCAAGAAGCGCCGATTAGTTCGAGTGACAATCATTCTGATTGCCTTCTTTCAGATTTGCTATATTCCAAGGATGGTGATGATGATAATCTACGATTTTGCACGCGAAATTACAAACAACAACTACTTCGTATATGTAGACCTTTCCGTGATGGCTTTATTCTATGTCAAACACGTTATAAACCCAATAATTCTTTTTACAGTAAGCACGGAATTTCGAAGGCACTCTCCTTGGAGAACAACTACCTGTTTCCATGCCATACCACGACGCTTTCGGGTCTTTTCGTCTCGCCGATCGACCATGAGCACTAGACTCAGCTTCCTTGGTAACAATGATAATGAAGGCGAAGCGATCAACAAGGAAACTGAATTTTAAGTTCTTTGAGTGACTCAATGGATGGAAAAACTGAAAACAGTTCCTTCGGATTTGAGCTTTAATAACAGGGTTGAAACTTAAGTTCAATATATTCCTGAAAATCACTTTAGTAAGGTTTCGTAATTTCATCTTTAGTTTATAAGACTGACTTTCTTTTTTCGTTCCGTTTGTGAATTTTTAACTAATTTATAAGAACTTCTATTAAAGCGCAAATAGTTGGCTTTTATGTACTTTGATAGAGTTTTTATCATTTTTAAAGTTTTGGAGTTAACAGTCCATTTACATTTTTTATACTCCTTTATACGTTTTGCTCAAAAGCACAAAAAAAACGCCAGCTTCAGTTTACTCAAGGCCATCCCCCTTTTTTTTCGTTTAGCTTTGAATGCGTTTCCTGATATTGGGTCGGTCGGTCGGTTTGAAAAAAAATTTACAACAAAATCACAAGGCTCGAGTCATCGGGGTTTCAAAAAGAGTACTGATGCTGAATCTAACGACAAATTGGTTTTGTTCGAGTTAGAGGGGAGATTCGCGTAACTTTCTGATTCAATATAATTTTATTACGCATCACGAAAACCCAGAGGCAGGTGATAATGTCATAAAAGCCATTGCTGCATCTCATCCCTAATGTTCCATGACTTGTTTACTTGACTATTGCTACTATAGCTAAACAAAGTATTGTAAAATTGTCGTTTGATTAAACAATAACACAGCGATGCAGTGTGTAAACCCGTTTTGGTGTCAACCTTTGCATGCAGGTATTTAACTAATACATGACATTTTCACCAGCAAGAAATTATATTTGTATTAATTATTGCACTGCATGGAGTTCAAACGTCAAAAAATGCTCCGTTTGACCCATTTAAAGGAGCAATTTTCATTTTGATGCAACTTAGGTACATTTCAAATCAACCCGTACAAACAAGCGGCGATTTCATGGTGATTTGTCGCCTAAAAAATCGTCGGTACGATTCGAACCTCTAATTTGATAGGATTGATTTATGGGCCATTTTTCTACGCGGGAGTTACCAATTGAAAGAACCTATCTTGAAGGATAATTAACTCAGAAGATGCGTCCTGGCTAATCGCTTTCGGCATCAAGATCAGAAAATCGCCAAAAATCGCCATGAAATTGCAGCAAATATCGCGCAAAAGATTCGCCTAGGTACACCTGGCCTTATTGAAATCCAAGGAAGAAGATTCGTTTTTCGAGAGTGAAATTGACTCACTCTTTTTTAATGCTTCCAGAGGCACTCTCAAGTTTAAACGGAAAGTGCTTATTAGAGGGTGGGAAAGGTTCCCTAATTGATGCATTCTCGATATCGTTGCAGGTGGTTAATTGGTGTCAATGTAAAGAGCATTTAGGGCATTATTTATTTATGGTTACGGCAAAAAAAGCCAACATTAATTAACTTTCTCGCGCGTGACATGTGGTTGCTATGTAAGGTGGCGACAAGGATTGTTCCCAAAACCTACAGTGCTGACATTTAACGAATATGAAACCCATTAGAAAATCTAATGGCGTAGATCTTTCTTTAGGAGAAACCCAAAAATTAAACTCAAAAACGAGAAGATGATAAATCCTAAAAATCGGATTTAGATTTGTTCTCACCCTGGGCCGCTCCCCCCCGCCCCTGCTTGAGATTTGTGGTCCAAATTGAGATGTCTGTAAAGAAACGCAAAATCCGCGTATGGGTTTCAGAATCTGGGCTTAGAAAATAACATTTTTTTTATACACTTTCCTCAAAAGCACAAAAAAATTCGACAGCTTCAGTCTACTCAAGGCCATCCCCCTTTTTTTTCGTTTAGCGTTGAATGCGTTCCCTGATATTGGGTCGGTCGGTCGGTTTGAAAAAAAAAACTAAAAGAAAATCACAAGAAGTCTTGGAATAGGAGGCCCTGGTACCCCAGGATGACGTTTAAAGTTAACCTTCATGTATTTGGATAACAAAATGCACAACATACTGTAAAAAATGCTCCTGTTTTTTTTCCTGTTTTTCTCTATGCTGTCACTATGCTCATTTTTCAGATTAAGAGAATTATTAACTAGGTCGTTAATTTTTTTTTTTTTTTGAAAATGCCAAAACTTTGGGTCGGTTGGACGACGCCGCTAAACGGAGAAAAGAGGATGGCCCGACGTAAAAAAGCATCACGAGAAAGTCTGTTTTCGCAGTGGTCACGGAGCAATACTTACGAGTATTAGTTAACATAGGTTTTTAAGAGGGAGCTTATATTTAAACAACCTTGGGCGAGGAAAGAAGGCAGCGAAAAAAAATCATTTGGGTTCTTTAAAACTTTATCGCGTTTATTAAGCCACGCTCAATCTCTTGAGGACTGTATCCAGGTCAAAAAAAAAGAGAAAAGAAAATTTCGTCCTCCGCAACATGATGCATTAAGAATTTTAAAGTCGTAGTCGTCCAGTAGATGTTAAAGAAATCGGCATCAAACAGCGATAGGCGCAAGGAGAATTATTTTTTGACGTTGTCGTTGCTTTCGTGTTGGTGGTTGCTTTGAAGCTCCCTAACACGACTCCATTTTCTCGCAATTCCTAAAAGATACTCGAGCACAAAGAAAACCAAACCGAACATAGAAAAATGACCAGAAAGCCTGGGAATCATGTTAGAATTTTAATATATCGGCAAACGTGGGCTATTGCATGAAAATAAAAAATGATTTTCATATCAATAGCTTCGCATCTAGCCTCGCTTTAAAACACAGCGTTGGGGCATCTCGGAACTAGGCATTACAGTCGTCCAAAGAAAAATTAAAGATAATGCTTGAACAAAATTTTGGGGGGCAAACAAGAACAGAATAGACAAAGTTGATTTGTTGTTCTACCCTTTATTACATCCAGATGGTTTAAAAAGACAAGAACAGCGCCTTCCTGTCCAAAATAGAATCAATTACAGACTGGTTATAAGCTTTAAAAAATTACATCGTATAAGACAGTCTCGCGCGTGTTGTACCTATGGTCTTTCTCTTTATTGGCAGTTTATTGACAAACAGACCAAATAATTCCATGAAAATAAAATAATTGGTATCTGAAATTCAGTAGTAGGTTTTTTAAAACTTATATCAGACAGTTAGCAATCCAAATAACCAACAGGAAGAGGCTAAGCGAGCAACCAACCGACCTTAGATAATGCAGACTGATTGTTTTTGATTACAAAACTTGTCATCATTCTCTACAGATGGCTATAGCAGTGAAATTTTGGGTTGTCCAAAGAATGAGCAAATTATGAGACTAAAATATCCTTCACCGAAGGTAATAAGGAGCTGAAGCAACGACGACGGCATCGAGAACGGATTAAAAGCAATAGGTTTAAATTAGCAAAACAAAACTTTGCACGTGCCTCACGCTCTTCTGTACATTCATTTGCCGTTGTTGCACGACCACGACGTGAAATTGCCTAAGTTCACGTTTTCTGGAGGACTTGAACACAAGACAGCGCTTTTCAAATTCTTTTTTAAACTTACATACAGTGCTCTAGAATTCAGCTCCCGAAAAATTCGCCAGCGTTGGACAAATTGAAAGCCACGTAATAACAGGGCCGTAGCCAGGAAGAAACTACAACCGAGGCGAACACACGGTCCGTTGTACGAAATCAGCCGTATGAAATCTTCTAATATTATCAATCTGATAAAAAAAATAAAAATCGACAGTATTGGTAAATTTTACCGAGGCGAGTGCCTCGGTTCGCCTCATACTGGCTACGGCGGTGAATAAGAGCGATGAATTTTGAAACAGCGCGAATTCACTTTTTAATAGACGTTTTCGCCATTTGTCAATTTCGTCGTCGTCGTCATTATTGCTTAAACTCCCTAATGTGAATCCATGCGGACCTACAGAACAGATCAGTAAGTCCCCCGTCCCCTCTCTGTCACTCGCTCTTTCGCCCCTGCTCTTCCTGCTTGGTTTCGTTAAAAGTTGCTTTCTCCACTGACTCAAACGAGCCAGTTGAGAGATAATCAATAATATTATTAATATTCGGCATTATAATAATTATAGTACAGTATTATAATTGATAGTTTATGGAGTGCGAATTGGCACAACACAACTACGTTCAAAAGCCCTGATTCACATTGAGGGATCTAAACGATCCAAATACAATCAAGCACAGTTCATAAATTATGCAATGTTATGCCGTGCAACACGTATTTGTTTTACGAACCACGTACAAAATCACAACACATTACAAAGGTTGAAAGTGATATTCGTAAAATTGACAACCGCTGTTGCTATAGAAGACAAAGTGAACTTACAGTGCAAACACACAACACTTGTTATCAATTACAGAAGATCGTTTACGTCTGTTCGTTAGACAGTCTTTGTTTTTGTTTGTTTTTAGTTTTTTTTTCTTTCTCTTTCGGTATTATTCTTTTATTTGTTTTATGACAATTTATTACACTCACGCGACATTTTCAGATATCCACAGGCTCTCACGTCAAGATCGCAAGACGAACCGCGACGAAAGCCGACGCGAACATGACCCCAACATGAAAGCCTGCTTGAAAGCTAAGAGTGCTCCAAACTCAATTTTGTCGTTTACGGTCTAACGGTGCTTAATCACTGTCATTGCAGTATTACAATCCGTTAGTCTTGAAACATTCCTAGCTAATGTTATAAGAAGGATACAAGACATAAATATTCCACCTATTTTTCTTGTAGAAAAATGAATTCACTTTGAAAACCTTATGAGGTCGACATGATATTTGATGACTAACAGTTTACTTCTTCCTTCGGTTTAACAATGCATTACTGGATTTACCGACATCTTTAAGTCTGGCCACTTTATCGGGTTCAAATCTCATGGATGCCAGTGCGTTGGTCATTTCGTCCTGAAAAATAAAGATAGCGTGAACAACATCGCTCTGCAAGCAGCGCCTTGCATTCACTTTCTCGACTGTGGCCCTTCGAGAAAGCCTCTGTTTGAATCGAGTACGATCTTTATTGGGCATGCGCGGCATGTTGCTAAGATACAGTCTCGAACCCAGGCCTAATAGCCGTGCGCTTGGTACAGTGCGCTCAGCTATGACCATTGGTTTATTAAAAAACCGATGCTCGCAATCATAAAACCAGTTTAACACTGGAAAACAAGATTGACTAGTCTAATGTTCGGGCTTCGGCGACGTCAAAGGCTTGACAGGATTCAGGCAGAACTTCCTTTTCTCCTCCTCACTCGAGAAAAGAAAAGGAGGTTCCTCTTGCAGGGTGCAACAACATAAGACCGTGTTATTCACAGTAAGTAAATGGTAGCGTTTTATTCAACCAATCCAAATCTGCATTTTTATATATGGAAAGAGCAATTATTGCCTTTTGTTTTGAAACAAACCCATTTTCAATTGAAATCTCAGCAAATTCACCCACGCCTTCATAGCTTTCTCTTCAGCAAATGCTAGATTTAAAAGTAGTTTACCGACAGCAAGATCAATGAGGGAGCTTTAGCAACAAAGAAGGCGACGGCTGGGAACACGTCACTAAAAAAGTGAATTCGTGCTGTTTTAAACTTCATTGCGCTTATTCCATGCCCTCCAATCAGTCGACTATTGGTGAATTTTTCAGGGGTTTAATTCTACAGGACTGTATCGAAGTTAAGGAAAAAAAGAAGGTTGTTTTCATGTGTTCACAAAACATGAAATTAGGCACTTTCACCTTGTAGTCGTGCATCGTCGTCAAAGGGAATGTACAAAAAAGCGTGATGCACGTGCAAAGTTGTTTTGCTAAGCTAAACCTATTGCTTTTTAGTGCTGTTCTCATTGAGGTCGCCGTCGTTGTTTAAGCTCCCTAATGACTATTTCAGGATAAAGCAATGAGGGCCGCCAATGTCACGACTATTCAAAGTGGACAGCCTTTATGTATTAGGATTGACCAAAATGAAAATAACTTGGAACGCGGGTTTTTGTGCTCCGCAAAATGACGGACCCTTAAACAACTAGGCGAGACTGATTGCTTCGTAGATGAGCGCTAAATTACCTTGACATCCTGCCAGTTTTCTTCCTCCTCTCTCAATACAGCGGCCGTGTGAAGAGGAGTCGATGGAACCTCAGAGTAGGCCTACAGGGTCAACAAAAAAAGATGTTAAGCAAAATATCATGAGAACCTCGTTAACCCTTTAAGCCCCAATATCCAAATACAAATTCTCCAAACTGATCTCCACACATTTCCTTTAAGAATTAGTGGAGAGAATTTGATGGCAGATCAAAGCATTTTCTCTTTAGTGATCATTTCATAAATTCTCATAACCTAATCTATTAACAAGGTATGAATATTGTTGGGAGAAAATTGATGTTGGTCACCATTGGGACTTAAAGGGTTTAACGGATGCTAGGACCAGCACCTATGACCAACACTCCAGCAATGGTCTATTTAAGTCCCTCTAAGATCGTGAATATAAGAAGCAAGGCAATTTGTTGCTACTGCTTTTGAGTACCATCTTGTCCTCAGTCCGACAGTTAAAGTCCGACAGTTTGCGGACGAAATCTTATTAATGATGCGACCATTCAGTCAAAAAATAGCCTATCACGCAGTGTTATTCACGGTGATTTTACCTTTCAGAAAGCGTTCTAACAAAACGCACCGTTTGTCATCAGATTTGTACAATAACTGTTTCTTGCAACGATATCCCAAGGGCGACGTGAGCCATGCTCACAGAAAGGCGAGTGATCCCGGTCTGTTTCGTCAAGTCTTCTACACGCGTGAGTAAATTGTCCCTACAAATGCAGAAGTGTTTTCTGGGCGGGCACAAAGACTGGCCTCACAGTATACTGTCTGTTGCTGGGGAACACAGCTTTAAAATACGGGTGTACTATAGAGTCTAGGGTATTTACCTTTATCCAAGGATTGTTTATCACTTGCTCCACAGTAAACCTGTTTTGAGGGTCTGTTCTCAAAAGTCCTCGAATCAAATCTTTTGCTGAAGATGAAAATAGTAAGTCTTGTATAGTATATCTTGGCAAGATACAGCAATAAAAGGGGCACGAACATGGAGAAAGCAACTACATTAAAATTCATAGGCAGATGATCTGAAAGGCCATGGACTAGATAGGTCAATGGATAGTCGATGACCCCTCAGTTCATTTGTTTAAACAGTTGGGAGAGTCCTGATAACTTCTCTTTTCGATGGGTCGAGAACGTGTGATGGCAGAAAATTAAACCACTTTAATTTTTTTTTTGAGTTGGTATAACAAAACAATATTAATGACTGATCCCAAGGGAAACAACGCGTTTTGTTTCCCCTTTGGTTCTTGTGGCGCCTGCCATTATGTGCTTATTGGCTCGAGTCTACGAAACACAAACAACGTTTCAGGGCTTGTCAAACGACAGAATATTAGGTCACCATTACCAGTGACACACAAACCTTGCGCTTTGCAGAGGAGAAATAGGGACTAGGTTCCAATATTTTTTTTCTGCCAAACTCTTGAGAAAAACAAGACGTCCACTGATTTGATGGAAAACAGTTCACAACGGGTTTAAGTGTCCACTGCTAAAAATGTCTGTGTATTTTACCTTGATTAGAAACTCGGCTCCACTCAGGGTTTGGAAAGTCATACTGTCCCTGTCTTATCCTCTTACGCATTCCAGGAGAAATGGCTGCTCCGTGATTACTGTAGAATGGTGGAAATCCACATAACCTAGACATTGTTGGAAAAATGACATAACAATTTATTCAACCTGCTACATTGTACCATTCCCCCAGGACAAGTACAGCCCTTTATGCCTGAGTTGATTAAAGATTTCATTTCCAGAGAGTATGGGGTTGGGAATGGAGAAAATCTGAAAGAATTTCCAGTGTTCTTGCATTAATTCACTTCTCAGTTTTCACAATGGTATTGCCTGGATGAGTCTATGTACATGAATATGTGAGGGGAAATCTCTCTAATTTGTGACTAACAAATTGGAGAAGAAAGAAACTTAAAAAGAAAGGAAGTCAATTTATTTGAAAGTATTTTTATGCAGAAAATTGTTTTAAATTTCATTATCTATATTTAAATAAAACATATTTACTTATTTGAAGAAAAGGGGAGTGATGAAAGTTCCAGCCATTGTCTCTTTCTGTGTGTTCATGGGTGGAAACTGGAAGACCACAGAGTGAGAAAAAAAATTCAAATTGCCAGAAATATTACTTGGGGTAGGGCAATGAAAAAGGAAGAAACTAAATACTGAAACCATACATGATGTTTGAGTAAGTGAATGAAATCTAACTTTGCACTCTAATTTGCTAGACTGTAAAAACAGGCCCCAGTTNGAAATAAATTTAAAGTAATTATGGCACTGTGTTTTAAATATTGTAGCAGTACTTTGAATGGTCGAGCAAAAGCACCTACCTCTCTCAGTAAAAGGAGAATCACCTCTCTTCTGAATTCTCTCAAACAGTTCTCCGCCAGTCATGCTACAAAAAAGAGTATCAAAATTAATTTAAATATTTAAGATTTTTACTGTACCGATTACATTTATCACAATTATAGGCCATTTCTGAGTTACAAAATCTCTTACTTTCAAAACGACGCTAAGTGCAAACCCTTCTTGTGTGCATGAGTTTTACTTCCACGAGGATAAAAAATAATTATTATTTTCATATCAATAGCTTTGCACTTAGCCTCAATTTAAAACAGAGCCTCGCGGCAACTTGGAAATGGCCTTTTTAATATATCTGGATTCAGTTTCCATACATGTATAAGTTAGATTTTCTACAAGTCAGACCTTCCAGACACCTTTCTCATATTCACTGGTAAATGCAAACACCACAAGCATGTACAGCACTTAAAACACTGAAAGCTTTTGAGCCATACATGTAAACATAATTCACTAATGATCAGTGTTCTCCCTAAATTTTAGCTCAGCAGGTAAGGGACCATTCTTGACCAGTAAAGCCAAAAGTATGTGCCAGAGGGGCTCTCTCCTGGCAAGTGGGGGAGGGGGGGTGCTTCACGTTCTTGACGGTTGTTATTTTCGAGCATCCTGTCAACCAATTGACCAAGAAGTATTTTAAACACCTCAAAACAAAGAATTTTATGAATGAAGGCTGCCTTTGCCATTAGGGTCAATTTAGTAACATAAGCCACGGAAGTCGCGCAATTTTCCTGCTGGTCGAGGAAGTCTAGAATTGGGAGAGAAACCCACCAATAAATTGTTAGCCTGCAGTGCTTTGAAAGAATCCAGTCAGTAATCAGAGAGAATAGCTGTGCATACTTTTTATTATTCCGTATTTAATTCCTTTTCTTGTGAGGATCAGCCTGGGTCACAACTTGCATATTTTTTTAAACAACTTATTATTTTTAGTAACACTTCCTGCGGTTGCAGGTGGTAAGAAGTGTTGCTTCAAGCAGTGAGTTTTACGGGTTACTGCCTGACAAGGAGAACACCTAATGCTGAGTAAGGCAAAAACAAATATATGAGATGAAACTTCAACAAACCATTCCATGACAACAAGAAGACAAGTGCTCCCTCCATATTTGTTCTGATAAACATCTTTGATTCCAACAATATATGGGCAGCTAGTGCTATCCAACGTTTGAACAACCCGGGCTAGAAGAATATCAGCTAAGTTTGTCTGATTCAAGGGAACCATACTTACAGAATATACATGATGACTCCTAATGACCATAGATCACACATTTTGTCATAACTCTCAGGACCTAGCACCTCAGGAGCTAACAAAAAAAAAGTCAGTCAGATTAATATGCCAGCCCCAGAACAACCACAGTACAGAAAAATCTGAGAACAACTACCCTTGTTATCTTGACGACTTTATTGAAAACGTTTATGGTACACTTGCATTAATATAATGACAACTCAGAATAAACTAGAAACTTAACAGGAACATTTTTTTAAGTACAAGTAGAAATATTCCCCACTATGTGCACCTGAATTTAAGAATGTGGATACAGCATTGTGAAGGGCAAGTGTAAATTTGCCAGTAAAATGAGATTACAAAGGGAAAAAAATGCAGTCTTGCCTTTAACATCAATAAATTAGTAAGAAGTGACAATTCAAAGTAAACAAGAAAACTACAGTATCACTGATAATTTCCCTGGTGTTGGAAATGCAACTTTCCAGACAGGAACAATACCAGTTAACTTACCAACATAGTAAGGAGTGTAGCAGGGTGTTTTAAGATCCAAACCAGCAGTGGTCTCCTTCGCAAACCCAAAATCTGTCAGCTTTAATAATGCATTGGGGGAATTATCAACAAACAACAGATTCTCAGGCTGTGAAATTAACAAAGTAAACCTACTGTTAGTGCAACTCAATCTTGTTAGCTGGGACATTTTAAATTACAGAACACTCAGGGCTAACAAAACACTTTGATATCCTGCTTTTCCAGGCAGTGCCCTTGCTCCCACACCCAGTTAAGGTGATATGTAAATAGAAAATAATGTATGTACATGGAGTGCAACCTCACTGATCTGTAGTGTATTCACAGCAACCTTGGAAAATTTGAAAATCAACTTATGTAAACGAAAATATTGACAAATGAGAGACAAGCAGGGATAACACAAGAAAATAGCAATTAACACTTTCAGGTATGGCCATCGTAGAAGCCAACTACACATATGCAGGCAGGTTCATAACCCACCTAGCCCGTACACAGATGTGTTTTTTTTTTTTCATTCTTTCCAAAAACATCGGGGAGCGTTAGCGAAGCGAGTGCGCCAGAGTGAGTACAAAGCATGAGAACAAGTGCAGAACACGAGAAAGAAAAATAAAGAACAACCCACCTGCTACCCATGATACATACCTTTAAGTCCCTGTGGGCAATATTTAATGAATGCAAATGAGCTGTTGCCAAAGCAATCTGACGCACAACAGCAGCTGCCTCTGTTAATGAGAAATATGAGAATTTACTTCGCATGTAACTTAATATTCAGAAAACTTGCGGATTAGCAAGACCTTGAGGAGTTTTAAGTTAGATGGGCATGAAGTATGTCCACACTGCTTCTATACATTTGCTATGATGCTAATGAGGGGAAGTTGTTTCAAAATTACGACTCCACTCAGTTGTGAATCATTTTCCTTTTGTCTCACACCTTTTAACTTTGATTGGGCAGTGATAATGTATGGGGAATTTGACAGCTGCTTGCCCTTAAACTTTGTCCACAGTAGGTGACAAAACTTCCCTTACCCCAAACCACAGGTTTTCTGTCTTTGTTGGGAATTAGAAATAAATTTAAAGTAATTATGGCATTGTGTTTTGAATATTGTCGCAGTATTTTGAATGGTCGAGCAAAAGCACCTACCTCTCTCAGTAAAAGGAGAATCACCTCTCTTCTGAATTCTCTCAAACAGTTCTCCGCCAGTCATGCTACAAAAAAGAGTATCAAAATTAATTTAAATATTTAAGATTTTTACTGTACCGATTACATTTATCACAATTATAGGCCATTTCTGAGTTACAAAATCTCTTACTTTCAAAACGACGCTAAGTGCAAACCCTTCTTGTGTGCATGAGTTTTACTTCCACGAGGAAAAAAAATTATTATTATTTTCATATCAATAGCTTTGCACTTAGCCTCAATTTAAAACAGAGCCTCGCGGCAACTTGGAAATGGCCTTTTTAATATATCTGGATTCAGTTTCCATACATATATAAGTTAGATTTTCTACAAGTCAGACCTTCAGACACCTTTCTCATATTCACTAGTAAATGCAAACACCACAGGCATGTAGAGCACTTAAAACACTGAAAGCTTTTGAGCCATACATGTCAACATAATTCACTAATGATCAGTGTTCTCCCTAAATTTTAGCTCAGCAGGTAAGGGACCATTCTTGACCAGTAAAGCCAAAAGTATGCGCCAGAGGGGCTCTCTCCTGGCAAGTGGGGGAGGGGGGGTGCTTCACGTTCTTGACGGCTGTTATTTTTGAGCATCCTGTCAACCAATTGACCAAGAAGTATTTTAAACACCTCAAAACAGAGAATTTTATGAATGAAGGCTGCCTTTGCCATTAGGGTCAATTTAGTAACATAAGCCACGGAAGTTGTGCAATTTTCCTGCTGGTCGAGGAAGTCTAGAATTGGGAGAGAAACCCACCAATAAATTGTTAGTCTGCAGTGCTTTGAAAGAATTCAGTCAGTAATCAGAGAGAATAGCTGTGCATACTTTTTATTATTGAAACAACTTATTATTTTTAGTAACACTTCCTGCGGTTGCAGGCAGTAAGAAGTGTTGCTTCAAGCAGTGAGTTTTACGGGTTACCGCCTGACAAGGAGAACACCGAATGCTGAGTAAGGCAAAAACAAATATATGAGATGAAACTTCAACAAACCATTCCATGACAACAAGAAGACAAGTGCTCCCTCCATATTTGTTCTGATAAACATCTTTGATTCCAACAATATATGGGCAGCCAGAAGCCTTCCAGTGAAGTTCGACCTCCCGCCACGCTTTGGAATNGCCTGACAAGGAGAACACCGAATGCTGAGTAAGGCAAAAACAAATATATGAGATGAAACTTCAACAAACCATTCCATGACAACAAGAAGACAAGTGCTCCCTCCATATTTGTTCTGATAAACATCTTTGATTCCAACAATATATGGGCAGCCAGAAGCCTTCCAGTGAAGTTCGACCTCCCGCCATGCTTTGGAATTATCTTGTAAAACCTTTAAGATATAAACAAAACAACTGAGATTTTCTGAAATATAGGACTGTAGTTAGTAAGTATGCTTTTTAGGCCAGACAGTAACTGAACAACTGAATAATAAGTTGATTAAGTATATATCCTACCCAAATAATGATGATGATGATGATGATAACTTATGTCACGATTATCCCAAAATGGTGACTTTTTACACTTATTTTAGTTTGTGTTGGCTTCAATAATAAATCAACATTAATAAATAAAAGTAGAAGCTTTACCCATGCTTAAACTGAAAAATAGATCAATATTAAGATTAACAGCTGGTATAAAACCTTACGTGAAATGGGCAATCAATGTATCAGGAACATCGTGATTCAAACCTGTCATATGTGCCACATGTTATTTGGAGATGATATTAATGGTCTAGTCAGAATTGTAAGGTATCGCCTCTACAGTTAATTATTAGCTAAGAGCATTCTTGAGATTATTAGACATGGTATTAACATGAATGAAAAATTTTTTTCTCATTTTATCATAGAAAAAATTATGTTCTGCATAATAATACAGTGCAACAACATTATTGACGCAAATGTTCTCTCCAGCGGGTACCCAACCAAGCTGAAAAATTACGGAAATTCTAAGGGTGACTTGATGCACTTTTTATTAAAGGTTCCATACTTTAAAATGGTTAGAACGTAAAAAAGAGGTTAATATCAAACCCAGACATAACATTTTACTGGCTACTGGCTGGCCCATGACAAAACCTGATTTCTCAGTCTTTCCTTCAATCAACTAGGTTGTTTTGTTTGGCAAGCTAGGTGTGTGTGACCTTGGCAAAATAATCTTGAAATAGCAGCTGATACAAAAGCAATCAATATACATAAATTTATACCCGGCTATGGGGAAAAGTCAATTTTTTTTTATTTTTTTTTTGGGTGGGGGGGGGTTAAAATGAATAATTCAGTTTCAAAAATAATTTAACTGGTCATTCCCAGCATGGATTTTAATACAAGAAGCGGTGGAATGAAAACTATGTTTAATATCCTATATCCCTATGTTTTAGGAAGTGCTACAAAATCAAATCACAAATAATTAATTCACCTATCAGCACGTACATGGATTGCCTTTTGCAATACTTACCACCGAATTTTCACGAAATCAAGAACATGAACTTTTGTTACACACAAAAGTAGGAAGGAATTCCTCCACAAACCTTAAAACACCTCTTATTGATTCAAACAGTGAGTCAAGAGGTTTAAAACTAAAACCAGAGTAGTTACACAATAGGGAGTGCGTACTTAAAAATTATGCCATAGTTACCAAAATTACACACTACGCATATTAAAATACATAAAACTTTTAAGCACTTAAAAGAGCAATATGTATTAAGAATATAATAAAATGATCGTGTGCTTCTTAAGTTAGAAATTGAGTAAATCCTATCTTAAATGGTAGGCCTCCCACAATGAAAGAATCAGAAGTGATTAATTACAATCAACGATGGAAAAGAGTTTGCCGAGGCCAGGGACATCAAAAGCCTAAAAACAACCGTACCAATGTTCTTCCTTGCAACAGTCAATAGCTGTGTACCTTTGCTTACCTTCAAGGCGAATCGATGCCTTGTTTTCTTCTCGAAACATTCTAAAACCTTGCCATTGATTCCTACCCCTAAAACCTTCTGTGACAGATCGTAGTCGTTCGTTATGAGCGAGACTTTTGTCTTTAACGGAGGAGGAACTTTAAACAATGGCTTGTTGGCCGAAGACATAGCTAAACGCTCGTATAACAAGCAGACAGTTTATATTCCTCAGCTCTACAGATGAAGAACAGAATATTTGCTGATCGCCAAGAAAAAGCCGATCGATTTTTCTGCTTCTGCGCTCGTCTTCCTTCGAACCCTGGCCCGAGGAAACTGGACCCAAATATCGAGTTGTTGCTATTTTTGGAACACGACCGGAAGTTAAAAAACATTACGCAATGAGGAAAGCGGATTGTTTTATTGTCAGTCTTTTTCACCCGACTGTTTCTCAATAATGCCTCTTATACCAAATGTAGTGTATTCTGAGCAGATAAATACACATATGCCACATAAAGGATAAAAAAGGTCCCAAAATTGAAATCAACGGCAGCCTAAGATATCTGAACAGGTTATGGGCTCCTGATCTGAAGCATGGCTCCTATGGGACAGTTACAATTCAAACGATTCATTCTTCGTCCGTATGATGAATCATGGATTGGGCTTAAGTACCGTTATTGAAGATATTTTTCTGTTGGATAATTTTTCCCTTCTAATGAAAAGTGCTGACATGACGATTTTTGTTGCAGTTAGTGACATAATACCCTATCTTTAATTCGTTATTCATAATAAGTCCCGGACGGGGTATGACTAGTTCGCACTCAAAAGATGGCACAAATACTCCATCTGAACATTTCCTTTCCTTAAGCGTCGAAGTATGACACTGGAGTCTTGGTGAAAAGCCAGTCGACCTCAAAAAGTTCACAGAATTAAGGTGATAAATTCGAGATAAATTGTTTGACTTCGGTCACTAAATATCTGAGTCACGTGAGCAGTGGTGAGAAGCAAGTGCTATGAATCTTCCAGACATTGATCAAACTGATGCAATGCAAATACAGTGTCTCTCCTAGTGTTTACACCACGTTGCCGCGGGTTAACTATGCCGCACGGCCTTGACTACCCTGGTTCCAGAGGTCCGTTGTCGAAATACCTAGCTAGGATGGATGAAAGTAACCGCTGTCGCGCCTTCGCCGTGACCTATCAGAAAATAACAACAACAAAACAACACACCTTAATTTGCATGACTATAAGTAATTACAGTATTGCAAAAGGATAGAGACTAAAAAAAGAAAAACCAAAACATGAAATGACTAATAAGCTATCTCGTAATTAATTAATAAAACGACTGGCACCCAGGGTGGAGTTTAGACGTACTAAGAAACTCTAAGAAGAAGAATTTTCTGCACCTTCGCTGAAAGCCGCAGACGTTTCCTCAGTTTTCCTATTCTTCGGCAAAACGCTTGATTACTAGCCGCTGTTCTTGAAATGAGCCCACGGTCCTCCCCGAAACACTTTTATCGGGCGGACCCGAGAGAGCAGAGGTAACGTAGCCTACCTTGGCATTTGGTCGAGAGTTTTCCCACGGGGATGTAGTGTGCCATGAAACGAGAACAATAAAAATTAAAAGAAATAAGGGGCAGAAACAATTGCTCAAGTATAAGGCACGGCTATTGCATATGAAAAATGAAATTCACAGGTTTTCTGCTTTGTGCGCACGGCCAAGACCAACCGTTGTCGTCCCTTACCTTGAAACAAATTAAACGTACGACGGGCAACCCGAGTCCCTGTCCCCTGGATAGTTTTCTAAGTATCATAAAAAAAGGGAAAAAAATTTAACAGGAATTAGAAATCCGCAAAAAAATAATGTAAAAAAAACCCTCAGTTTCAAAATGAGGCCAAGTGCACAATATTTGTTGTGAAAATGAGTTTTATTTGCACGAAAATGAAAAATCATTTCCATATCAAAGATTGGGCACTTAACCTCGTTTTGATACAGAGGCCCGAGGGAACTCGGCAATGGCTTATTTGTTTGCGTGAAATGAACTAGTTACGGTGTCATTACAGGAAACGTCGGATATCATAATCAGTGGAGTTCATCAATGTTCACTGATTAGTTATTCAGTGCTACGGTTTCCTTCGTTCATTAACTGGATAAAACACATTTCTATTTTCGCCAAACTGGAGCTGCCGAACTAAATAAAATTAAGGCTGTTATGACATAGGGTAAAAAACTCAGGCGTGAAGTAAAATGTGGCTTAATTTCCACAAAGACGCCTACTGAGCTTAACAGGTAAGCTAAAATGTGGTATGGCGAGGAAGTTAAATAGGAAACACGTCATCTTCTATGAATTACAAAGTAAGAAAAAAGGAACTTGATAACTACAAGTTCAAGTTCATTTATTCACACTTATTCAATTACAATACAACAACAGTAAGAAAAAAAAAGAAGTAAAAGCAGAGCTAACTATACATTGAATTAAACATAACAAAGGAAAACTTTTGAGTGTGTAGCAGCCAAAGGAGCCAAGCTTTTGAGTTGGCTACTGCCACAGAGCGGTTACAAGTGGGTGGAGGTTACGCAGTACTTATAAAAAACTATTAAAATTAAATAATTAAATAAACAGAGCTGAATAACAGATTAATGTTGTTGTTCTACAAAAAATAATAATCTTTATGCATGGCCATAAATGCGTTGCAAGAGTCATGTTCCAGTATCCATCCAGTGCGGTTGGGGAAATTAGCCATGTACAGGGTCGATCATAAAATCGCTGATCCTATGCGAACCTCTTTCTTGCTTGCTGGTACATTTTATCATTAAAAAGCGTCCCTAAAATGTCACCTCGCGCGGTTGTCTCCAATCTTTTGTTAATCGCTGATCGCAAATTGTTCACTCGTCGTGGCTCGCATCGAGATATTCCGATAAAAAGTTAAAGCCACACTAAAAGAGTACTCGATATGAAGAGGAGCTTGAGAGGGGAAGTTTGTCGCGTCCCGCATTAGATTCTTAGCAGAAGAAACACTGATGTCTTTACCCTTTGAGGAATCTAAAAAGGGCTGCTCGAAGGAGATGGCCGGCATGGCTATATCTACTAGATCAGCCACAATCGACTCCTGATCAGATGTTTTTCTTGAATGCGAAAACTTTGTTTTCCTTAAAACTCTAGCTGTATCTCCGTTTTAAAGGTTTTCCTTGCAGAGTTAGAGGTGAAGTAAGGCTCGAGCCCTTTAGTCACTTTGGGTCCGCGGGTCCGAGCCCCCTTAGGGGGCTGGGGCGAGGAAACGGCTGACCGCCCAAGACCGACTAAACCTCCCTGCTCCTTTCCTAGGGGACTCCGCCCGGGACCAACCGATGGAAAGGCTCGTCACTTATCAAAACACCTTGCATTGCAATCACTGTAATTATCAACAAATTACTATTGCTATTACTTTACTGAAGTGTTCTTTCGTTAATTTCCGTAAAACGAGAAATTCGTGGGCGATGAAAAATATTGTCTTAACGAATTATCCTTTACACTTTCTGTCACTCTGCGTTTCGTTTAATTTCTAGCATTATATTACACCCAGAATTTTTAAATTAATTATTAGAAGGGCCACAATGAGGAAAGTTCATTTGCTGTGAGAAATTTCTAAAGAATAAAATAACTTACAAACCTTCATCAGGAAGCACGCTGAGATCGAAGGAGTGATTATGTTTATTCACGGCCAGGTTTCGAGTCGCACGCGTTCGATAAATGAATTATGTTTGTTTGAAACATGAGAAATGCCTCTCGGTTTTCTTAGTTTGCAGAAGTTGAAAAGATTGCAGATCAAGTCTATCCGACATTTTACATTAAGCCGGATCAGATCAAAGCCGATAGGCCGCCTCACTTGTGTCTTGTTACCTGTGTCAGATAATTTGCATGTCCACCTGGTCTGCGCCGAGTCAACAGTACACATTCAATGCAATTTAAGAATTACACTGGTGGGTGAGAAGACAGGAAATTAAAGGCAGATTTTATTATCACAAACTGTTTCGGAAGAAAGGAGACACCAAATATTCTTTTAATTCTCATTCCAAATTAAAGGCAGGAAGAGAATTTTTAGTGCAAGTGCAAGAAATTACTGGGCGACAAGCTCACCTTAGAAGAGGTGGAAGTGATTAACATCAACAGAAAAGGTAAAGTAATCTGAGGCTCGGTGTTGTAAGAAAAAAATTCGAGGATTTTCTTCATTTTAGATGTCAAATTTCGGATTCATTTTCTGTTATAGCTTCTACGGCAATTTTCAATCAGGGTCCCTTATCTGAGCTAAAATGACTTCCATGCCAAGACCTGAATTATAGGCAGATCTACTACGCGAGCACCTATTTAAACGCCATCTTATATCCACGAATCAAAGACACCGATCATATCAACCTCCATGTATAAGTTGAAAACCTTAAAACTTACTAACACATACACGTCAAGATCAAACTGCTCACAATTCTAATTCCTCAAGAATTTCAGTTTCAAAATCAAATTTCAAATCTAGTCAAGTTTTTACTGTTGGCTTGGCAGTTGGCCTCTATTAATGATATGCCAAGGATATAACATACTGTTCCAAATGAGGCTTTTAAATCTTTCAACTTACTCATGCATTTAAATATTTTTATTTCTAACTCAAACTAGCAATTGCTTTAGTAAGGCGGCTTATTCTATTTTGAGAGACTGTATTCTTTCCTCTTTCAGTGACACACTATAGCCAGTTAGTACTGTACCACTTTAACCCCTTGTGACTGCTGCTCCAATCTTTTTAAAAACAACTCCAGGTTTGATGAATTTATCGAAGACAAATTATGACTACTTGCTTTTATATTCATGCCAGTGTGTTTACTAATACTGGCTGACAGTGTCAGTCNTCAAATTTCAAATCTAGTCAAGTTTTTACTGTTGGCTTGGCAGTTGGCCTCTATTAATGATATGCCAAGGATATAACATACTGTTCCAAATGAGGCTTTTAAATCTTTCAACTTACTCATGCATTTAAATATTTTTATTTCTAACTCAAACTAGCAATTGCTTTAGTAAGGCCGGCTTATTCTATTTTTGAGAGACTGTATTCTTTCCTCTTTCAGTGACACACTATAGCCAGTTAGTACTGTACCACTTTAACCCTTGTGACTGCTGCTCCAATCTTTTTAAAAACAACTCCAGGTTTGATGAATTTATCGAAGACAAATTATGACTACTTGCTTTTATATTCATGCCAGTGTGTTTACTAATACTGGCTGACAGTGTCAGTCAT